ATATATTAGTGAAAAAATATTTTTTTTTGGAGAATGTGAGTTGTGATGAAAAGTATAGAGCTTCAGAGAGAGAGAGAGAGGAGAGAGAGAGAGGTGAGCTAATTACTTCATTACTCATACATATTTTGATAGTAGACATGCACTATGATAAATTAATATAAATACAAAATAAAATTATGTTCCATACAAACCACGATATATATTTATATAAATTAAATGAGATAATTGGAAACTAGGTACAAGCGACAAGTATGGGCTCCTAATTGGCTAGTCATCTTCCACATTACATTGAATAATTACTAGAAAATATTAGTGGGGGTATCAAGAGGGGGGCACAACTTGTTGTGATCCAAAAGAGTAGCCTGCGTTAATGAGAATAACGTCATTTTCATGAAGATAATCATTGGGAAGAAGAGAAACTCACTTATTGGATGAACGACTGACCAGTCAAAGAGAGATAAGCAATATGAATGAGTTATAAAAGAAACACAAAGTTCAAGTGCATGTTACTCAGCCCAATGATTGGGTACTTTATTTCCAATCATAAAATTTTTATTTAAAAGCCTAGCACATATGCGTGTACGTGTGAATTAAAAAAAAAAAGTCATCCACAGAGCAATCTTAGGATTCTAGACCTCATGGCCATGCTCTCAAGTGTAAGAAGCATAAAGTGATATATCAAAACAACAATTTCAACTAGCCTCATCAATGCTACTTTGTGTTTTCATGATCATTTGGGAAAAAGAATTAAAGTAGTTGTAGAGAGCTCTGGATTCATGGCGGTTTTGTTATGGCAGCACTGCATGAGAAGAAATATAAATACTACTCTAAATGATACACAATAAATAGCTTAAAAATGATAAACTAATAAATGTGAGTGTACAAGAAACAAATTCAACAAAATAATAGAGTAAAATATAGATGACAAAGCATGGAGAACAAATATATTCAAGAAAATAAAAATGAGTAGTAAATATTATACTATAGTAGTTATAGGCAATATTTAAAAGATAAGATTTTTAAATGTGAAAAACATCATTTATAATTCTCACAAAGCAAAGTTCCTAAAATTGATCACTCTGTTTATGTGCAAATATGTCTACTTGCATGCATAGTATATTTATGTTTCATAAAGACTTATCATTCATATATTATATATTTTTTATTTATGTACATATATCTATAGTCGTCTCACTACAACACCTTAAAACTAAAAATGATGGGCACTAATTCTATAAAGTCACCATTTTAAAAGCCCATCGATCTGGCTTGTTAATAATCAAAAGGGATTAATCCTAATAATATATGAATCAAATATATAAGCATACATTATATATATTTTTTATTATGATAAATTTACTTTATAAGGGATTATAACATGATTAGACTCAATATATATATATATATCAATTTACGAAAATTTATGAAAATGAGCAAATAGCAATGGTTATCTTATCATTTGCTCAAAAGATCATATGGATCTCCTTTTAATCATGATACTTACCTTCTCGCTCTTACACATAATGCTCCACAAAAGTCCTAAATTCAAAAGAATCAAGATCAATCACATTCAAATATTACACATCAAACATGTAAATAATTAAGATGGTATGCAATTAAAAAGAAAGAGTATGCTTATCCCTTGTTCAGCAAATTATCTCTTACGAATATTTCAAACATGACATTGATTTATCACTCTAAAACATACTGCTCCGCAAATTCTAAATTTAAAAATAATCTGAATCATCATTCAAGGCATTATACATTAAAACATAAAAAAATTACAACAGTCACTTAAAAGTATTTTTATGCAACCAATGATTCTACAACGTTTTAATTATGCCCAGCATCTAGCCGATTATAATTATATATAGTTACTCTCTTCTTCATCAAATGACTAAATTTACAAGCTCCTTAATGCATTCATAAGATAAAACCAATTATTATTAAAAATTATGTTTACTTATGTGAGTTATGCTCCATAAAATAAGACAAGTTTAATACACACAAGTAACAATTAAACCAATTCTATAAAATTAATATGCACGTATATCCACAGCTATGATTTAAATCATCTACATGTACACAGAGTTGTATGACATTCTTCATTAACAAATCTTGGTTATACTTTGAACCCTACTTAATAATTTAATATTATCCTATATGGCTCAAAGCATATATCAAAGAGACCACAAAGAATTGAATGCCCCAAATATCTTATTTCAAAATTAAATTATTTTGGCATAGCATTAATGATGGATTCAGGTTTTAATTGATTTATAAAACCCAAATAAAAATTTAGATTATGAAACTTTTAAATTTATCTCTATTCACACAACAATACCCAAGGCAAGTTTGCTTGTTTTTGTTTATTTTTATTTGTTTTTATTTTATTCCTCTTCAAAAGATTTAGGGTTTATCTAGTTGCTTCAAGGGTGGGTGAAAAGAAGAAAAAGAAGATGGTGATGGTCTAACAAAGAGAAGAAGAATATCTCTATTTTTTCTTTCTTCTTTTTTTTTTAAGGGTTTTTACACAAACAAAGTAAGATACATAGATTGGCGAGACACAAAAGATGAGCATTGGTATTAACAGTAATATTTATTATCATAATAATTCTTCGTAGGAATGTGATACAGATTGGCGAAAACCATTAAAAAACAATTATTGATTTGGGTGCATCAATGCAGTAAAGGAGTTGTATTCTTAAGTTTTGACCTTCACAGCTCAATAAGGTTTTAAAACTTGAGGCAGCAGAAACCTGGTAGCGACGGCTGCCAGAATAAAGTTCGGTACTTGAAGCAGCCACAAGCGTTGGTTTTAAACAGAGGTAGCAGCTATAAATTACAGGAGATATGTTTCTGTCTATGCCCTTTGCAGGAATTCGTTATGCTTTATGTCAAACAACTTGATCAGAACATCTTCCACAACCTGCCCAATTAATGATTAGGTGAACATCACTGACCATTTTCTTATGAAGATACAATTTCTATCATTTTGTGAAGATATTGCAATGCAGATTCCATGCATAAGAATAAATAGTAATTAGGACAACAACGCACATAAAAATGTGGTCCGGGGAATTTATTGTGAGCAATTTTTTTGAAAAAAAAATGATACCGTTTAATATTATCTACTTTGGTGTTGCTCAACATCTATAATCTTTCATAAGAAAATCATTGATGGCAACATCAGCTGCCTAATCTAAAGCATTGGACCTCATCTTTCTGCATTTGCCTTGCCGTGTTTTTAAGTTTTTGCTTAGATCTATGTATTTGGTGTTTATTCTTAAATAGTTCTCAATCAAAGCTAAACTATACCTCGCCGTTTTTCTCGCTAAGCTATGTCATTCCTGTTTGATTCTTCTGTGATTTTATCTCAAGAATATATTTGGAAAAAAAAGTTTTTATGTCTATAGAGGATATCAAGAACAGCTCCAGCTTCTGGATAGGTGAATAGAACCTGCACAGCTGCACCTTATGATTCCCGGCTTAACATTACTAAGCACGTGAATAACCAACAAGGCAGTTTGACAAGCCAAGAAAACATGAATGCGCAATTATTGTCTAGTAGTTGATACTTGATAACCCGCTAGTTGACAATTTCAATAATTACATAACTGCTAGATAAAAATCAGCAACAACAAAATGTCAGCTCTATCTAATTCAACATCGAAATGATACGTTTCCCACAGTTAAATTCAGGCATAACTAATTAACCGCAGCACCTCATTAATTGAGCACCTAGTAGGTTTTGAAAATTAAACGGAAGTATATTATTGGTATGAAAAGGAGGTATAAATATCTTTACATAAATTCTAGAATAGGAAAGACAAAAAAGAAAAAAATAATAACATGAAAGGAAAAATATAAGACCTATATCTGCAATTAATCAATTCATAATAATTACCTGAAAATAAAGCAAATGACATAAAATAGGAAAGCCTAAAATAGAAATTGAAATAAATTCAATTCAAGGAAATACATTTAAAATAGGAAAGAAAATAAATCTAATCCAAATAAATAAATGTACTCATAACTTCTAACAGGAATTCATTATTTTCTAATATTAACTTCTAGCACTCCCTCTCAAGTTGAAACATGGTTGACAATCATGTTCAACTTGGACTTAAAAATATCAAAAAATGGGTGAGAGATTTTTTGTGAGATAAAACTTAAAGTCTTCATCTCATACTTGGTAATCAATCCCAAGAGCATTTAGGGATATTTTTAGTTGACTGCGGTTGTCTTTGACTGCAGTTTCTGTAGTGTCTGCAGGTAAGAGAAAAACTCTTATAGGTAATGTTGCAGGGAAATAGACAACCTACAGAAAAAGAAGACTTCTAGATTACTGCAATTTCTTCAGTGTCTGTAGGTAGAGGGAAGCTTCTACAGGTAATGCTGCAGGAAAGTTTGAGAGAAAATAGACAACCTACAAAAAGCTGCAGGGTATGACCTGCAGGCAAAAGAAAGAAAGAACACCTGCAGGAAAAGCTGCAGAGTATGGCTTATAGAAAAAAGAAAAAGCATCTATAGAAAAAACTGCAGGGTATGGCTTGAGAAAGGGTATGTAGCATGAAAAAGCTCCAGAAGACAGTAAAAAGTCCGAAGGAAGGTCTGCTGAGATTTAAATATTTCAATTTCTCTTCAGTTGATGCTACGCTCCATTAAACCATATGTTAACTGAGTATAACTAAGATTTAAATGTTCTAGGTTATTCAAGGGAGCCAAAATGTTAAAGATGCCAATGTTAGAGTGAGATACATCCATGAATTTCCAACAACCTGATCGGAGACTTGAAAAACCCTAATTTGCATCAGTAAAAGTTGCTCTAGTAACAATCAAATTTGACAAAATTGAAGTGGCATTGTTGCCTCCTTCAACTATAGAATGGATGGTGCAGTTACTCATGTTTAAACAAACAATAGAAAGAAAACAATAGAAAGAAAAGGGATGGTGCAGTTACTCATGTTTAAACAAACAATAGAAAGAAAAGGTAATCTGGTAACTTTGGTCCAAGCTATATTCAAAAAACTCAACGTAGGGAATTTTTCAACAGTAGCAACACCAATGTTGGAAATTTCACTGCCCCATAGTACCTTATCATTGACAAGAATTCCTCCGAAATCCAACACACAGATTTACAAAGAAAGAGAGGGAGAGGTCTCCATAAAAATTCAATCATGTTTCCAACACACATAGCATCTCCAAACTTGTACTGGACAATAAATGCTTAATGCCATCATCTGTGACACAAGCATCTTGACAAGTCCAATTCCTTTAGGCTGTTGTGCCCTTTGAAGTCGGCCATTTCGACAGAAAGCTGGAAAACTTCAAGGATGGATGGGAAAAGGAGGCGTCGGCTGTGTAGACATCTAACGAGAACATCAGGGAGCTGAGAAGGAAGGCGCTCAAGGGTCCTCCGTTACCTCCGCCATATCTCAGACACTCTCGCTGCTTGTAGTCGTGACTTCAATACAGAGATCCATCAGCCCTCCGTTCTTTTTCATTTTCGCCCGCCTTTCTCTTCTATATATTTTTGCTTCCCCTACCAGATATTGTGAGTTGTTTGCGATCTTTTTGAAGGCGCCGACAACTATAAGCACGAAGACAAGTCTGTCCTTACTGTAGGAAGTATGGGAACTTAAGAAATCTTCAGATGGGCCTGCAGTTAAGGCTCTGCTAGGGAAACCGAAGAAAAAACACTCCAAACACGGTTGCAGGATCCACAAAGGAAGTTCCCATGAGAAGGTCTGCAGTTAAGCTTTCACAGGAGATAGATCTCATGGGGAGGCCTGCAAGTATATCTCATGGGAGAATGTCCCTGGCCGGCAGGAGGGAGACCCGTGGCTGAAAAAATTGCATGAGAAGGAGCCGGCGGCGGGAAAGGCTACAGGAGGAAGTTCCGGCGATAGGAAAGGCAGCAGAAAGGAAGTTTGGCGGTGGGAAAAGCTGCAGAAAGAAGTTCAGGTGGCGAAGGCTGCAGGGAGAAGAATTTTCCAGTGGAAAAACTGAAGAGAGGAGAGGGAGGAAGGGCCTGCAACACAACAAAGATTGCCAGCTGTAAGGAATAGGAAGTCTCAGGCGACAAAAGATTCTATAATTTTTTTTAAGGCTTTGATGTCATGTAGAATTTAGAGAATTGAGTGGAATTATATTATTGATATGAAAAAGAGATACAAATACCCTTACATGAATCCTAGCTAGAATAGAAAAAATAAGAAAAAGGAAATAACCTAAAAGGAATGATATAACATCTATATCTTCAATTGATCAATTCATAATAATTATTTGGAGATAAATAAAACAACATAAAATAGGAAAGTCTAAAATAGAAATGGAAACAAATCCAATTCAAGGAAATAAATTTAAAATAGGGAAGAAAATAAATCCAATCCAAGAAAATAAATCCAATTCTCATAACTTCTAATAAGAATAAATTATTTCCTGATATAAATTCTAACACAAGTAAACATGAGTTCTATGATTTGTTCAATTTTAAAGTAAGAAAACCTGCCTCATCGTTATTGAAGATAAACAAAAAAATTATAGGGGAACAAAGCTATCATATTAAAAGCAATAAAAAGTACAAACAAAAAAAATATCATGCACTAAACAGCTAGCCATATGGCCCTTATCAACTGTTTTTCTAGCTAGTTGATTAACAATTCATTGATGAATAATAGGATCCTTTAATTTTACCATTTCTAACCTATTATATATAAGCCAAATCTTTCTCAGAAATTTTAGTCATGACCATGCATCTAGAGAAACTCACATTTCTTGCCATTCCTTGCCATGATCTTGCATCCAGAGAAACTCACATTCGTTGCCATGATGAGATAAAATAAGAACATTTGCCAAGAAACCCAAAATGAGATAAAATAAGAATATTGCCAAGAAACGTAAGTATAGAAAGCTTACATACTAATTTCCAGTACATTTTGTTTCTTACCTATTATGACCAACATATTTTTATTAGAAAACTGGTCAAAATCCCGGATAGGATAAACAAATAGATCATAAGCGATGACACCAAATCACACGTTATCAATATAAACAAATCAAATTTTAATCCAGTAGACACTTTTAATTCCAATTCCATAAAATGCTTTAATTGAAATTAAGATATTTGAGGAAACAAGATTTACCAAATGGATTCCACCAATTCAACCCTCAAAATTAGCTAGGATTTCCAAACATGTTAAGAGAACACATTAAGAGAACACAGAATCCTATGGTTTTTTTTTTTTCTTCCTTGTAATTGCCTGTTAAGAAAACACAGAATCCTTTGGCCATTTGACAGGAGTTTCTTCATCTGACCCCTGTTTGCTAAATAAGAACAACCACAGCCTAATGAAAAAAATATGAGAAAACTCTCCTAGGAGATCCACAACAGCGAGCTAACTCCAACCTAGCCCAAAGTTTAGAAAAGTATATCTTTTGTTTGTCAAAAGCAAACCACATTGAGCCTGTCAATCGGCTAATTGGTCATTATTCGGTATTTCCAACATAAGCATAAATTTCAAATACTACATCAAAGCATAGATAGGAGAATCAATTAAAGAAGGCATTCTCAGGTCAACTAAAAGTTCAAAATAGTAAATAAAAAAATAAAAGAAATATTTAAGGAATAAATCCAAACCCTAGGTTACCACTTTCACACAACCTAAAACTAAGAAAATAGTTTTGCAAATTGAAGCATAAGAAAAACAAGAAACTCATTGGAGAACATAACTTTCTCTCTCTATTGTAATACTATTTATTATGTTTTCTGAATTTTATTATTTACCTTGTCAGGTGTTGAAGCGCCTGATGTTATTCCAATTGTAATAGATCCCAAAGGTAGGAAGTCTTCCTTCTCAACAAGCTCCCCATGCTGGAGAAAGAAAATCAGCAGCAAATAACAAAAGGAATAAATTTAAATAGAAACATAAAATTCACAACTTACAAGCAATTTATAGGTTATCTTGTTTCCCAGTCCAATTCTCTTTTCATTGTCTATCCAATAAGATGGGATTCCATTGATTTCAGCAATCTCTTGCAAATGTGAGGTATTGCTTGAATTCCACCCACCAACAACTAGGATCAGATCAAGCTTATTCTGAACCAGCTTGTTCATGGCATCTTGTCTCTCCTGAAATTAGTCAGGTTTAAATTGCATAAGCAAACCCAAAAAACCGTCATCTCATGTGATCCTCTACAGATTGATTACATATTTGCTTCAGACATTGCGATAAGAAACACCCACCACTATGGATTCCTTGAGCTGAAGTTCAATGAAGTTCATAAAATACACATTTCTATACATGTAAAACAATCCTGACTTCAAATAAATGCTTTTTCTGGAACCCAAACACTAAATTGTTTCGATCCTCTTGAATATGAGCAACAAAATCATCTCTGGAATGGAAACTCAGCCACGGGTGTCCTCAATAATTAGACATGCACTAAAAAAAAATAATGTAGCACATTAAGTGCTTGAAACACCACAATACTTCTCAAAAATTGGAGATGGAAAGCAAGCAAATAAAAGAGAATTCAGTTAATGTAAATCTTCATATTTATTTTTTCCGGTAGCATCACATCAAGCAATGATCTGTGCACATTTTAATTTTTTATGAATTGTTTTATTTTTATTTAATACTTCCATAGTTATAAACATATAGATGACAATAGTAAGTGAAGAATGTATTTTATTTCCTATCATACGTTAATTTATATGAATTGGCATAGTTTACATCGTGCTTAGGTTTAGGTTAAGTTCCGCAAAGCTCAGGTGGTAGTTTTGAGATGGACGTGCTGGTCGAGTTAGGATTTAGGCTCTGTTTGGCGCAGCTGCAGCTTCCCAGCTTTTCAGCTGCAGCTGCGCTGCCTCAAGAAACTGCTGTGTTGCCCCAGGAAGCAGCTGCGGGGAAGCTGACTGCCTGTTTGGTGCAGTTGTGTGAAAACAATTGTGGGGCAGCTGTTTCTGAAAAAATGACCATGGTGCCCCTGTTTGGTAAAACTGTTTAAAAGAAGACTGTAATAGCTATATTTTTTGAAAATTTTGAAGCAGAAATTCATTGTTAAACAAAACAGAAAGTTCATATACCCTCACTTAACAGTGAATCCCGAAAAGTGCTAAAAAAAAGAAATAAAATTAATAAAATTATAAGTAAAATAAGAAAATTTATACTCTTTGATGCCAAACATTACACAATTTGTAAGTTGCAGTAGTAAAATAATGGGGGCCAAAAAACTTGAATGAGTTCTAAATTATTTTGTTTATATCATACAATTGTGGTTACTTAACACATATTATGAGAATTGTTCCCTTGAAGAAACCATCAATCCAATGCATTTGCAGAACTGTGTTTCTGAAGTGCATTTACATATATACCACACAATTTTTATGTATTTACATATCCTAAATTCAAATATCAAGAAGCTGGGGCAAATCCAAAATCTGAAACTTGCAGTTTTTGAGTAGTTTCCACTTTGAAGTTCAAAAGCATGATTGGATTAACGAGACAAATGGGAAACACAATTACCATCCAATCTACCAAAAGAAAGATGGTACGTGCAAAAGGAGAGAGGGAGGAGGCTTGAAGAATTCTGCTATAAAACATATATAAGGATTCTGCCATTTAGGTGTGAATTCATAGAATTCTGCTATAAGAATTCTGCTATAAAAATTCCAAGCAAACCAAAGCAAATATATAAGAATTCTGTGCTTAAGAATTCGGTGCTATATCAACTGATGTTTTGTACTTCAAAGCAAACCAAAGAAAAAAAATAACTTGCAGTTCAAAGCAGTCTTCTACCCGATGTTTTGTATCTTCATTTTCTTGAGCTTAGGAGGCAAATAGGGCAATTCTAACAAAATTAGGCAAGTTATCGAGGAAGAGTTCGGTTAAGCAAGGAAAGAAACTATCATTTGCTGCTGCACTTGCTCCATCAAATCAATCCTCCAATACTTGTAATCCCTTAATATTTAGCACCTCCAATGATGGAAACACATAAACCTTTGCATTCAATGGAATTTACAATCAAGTCGCTTTGCTTTTGGCATGTTACAAAGGTAATCCAATGTAAGTAGGCAAAAGCTAATATAAATTGAAACTTATATAAAGGAGAAATGGAAAGAACAAGCCATCTAAATGCATTTTGGCTAGGCAAACAGCAGCGGTATGATTGTAAATTCCATTGGAATGCATGGGGAAGCTGGAATGGAAACCAAGTAAATGGTTCCCATTAAAAAATACCACCATTTTGTATAGTAATTATGTATAATTCCTATGTGTTTACATATCTACCACCAAAAGTTTGATTTTTTTTTATATTAATACCAACCATATCCTTATTATCAATATGTATAACATGCCACCCAATTCCTATGTGTTTACATATCTAACACCAAAAGTTTGATTTTTGATAAATAAAGCATTTAGCATATCCAGTGAATGCGCATGCTCATGTGAATAAATAAAGCATTTAGCATATCCCATCTTCAGTAATGAAAAATACACTATATCTACGTGTCCTTGATTCAAAGTTAAAATATAAAATGAAAGAAGGCAATAATTAGATAACATCCCAGAACTCAAAAGGAATTTACCATTGATATTGAAACTACCAAAAGATGGAGAAGGGAAAAGAAAATAATTGAACTACACGCACAAAATTTGGAGAGGATAGGAAGAGCTCAGCACACACAATGGAGCGAGAAGAAGAAAGATTGCCGACATAATTTGGAGTGAACTACAAAGACAACTTAAATCATATGAGAACAGCACACATAATCTACCCCATCCATAAGATATTCATAATCATTACTGATAGAAAATGGTTATGAATCCTTACTGATAGAAAAATGTGATACAAATATAAGATCAAAAAAATCTGAAATCAAACCTAATCATAGATAATTCGAACTCAAACTTGAAAAAAGAATCCAGATAATATAATCTAATGAACAAACTTCTAAATACATAAAACAACACCCAATTCCTATGTGTTTACATATCTACCACCAAAAGTTTGATTTTTTTTTTATATTAATACCAACCATATCCTTCTTATCAATATGTATAACATGCCACCCAATTCCTATGTGTTTACATATCATTATTGATAGAAAATGGTTATGAATCCTTACTATAAGATTCACATAGTTACAGGTCTCAATCATGAATCCTTTAGGAACATGGAATAAGACCTACTCCTAATAAGAGAAAAGAAAAGATACTAATGGTGTTCCTGCAGTACACGTGAAATTCTGCTTGGCAATCCATGTTATTTAAAGCCACTGAGATTCCCTACAGTCCATGTTATTCTGTGTAATTCCTACAGACAAAAAAAAATCCCTCACTGGGGTTCAAGTGGGGTGAAGGTGCAAACTATAGAATATCCTTAATTTCATAAATGCATGCATAGAACCTTGATTTGTCAAATATCTCCCCACTTGATAAAGCATTTCAAATGCAAAGGAATTATTTCAATTATCACCCCCACGTAAAATCAAATTAAACAAGAAGCCCCCTCTAAAATCAAGTCATCTGATAGTGATATGTAGGGCCAACTACACGTGAGAAATTACAGAATAATTAACATAATGGAAAAATTCAAACAAACATGTTATTTGAGAATGGTTATAGGATTGGGGAGTTGGAACATATGAGCGAGATGCACAAATTAAAAATACATTTTCTGAAAAATGTGAAGGATGCTAGAGAGGCTTGCAGTGCAAAATTATTTGAGAAGAGAAAACTCGTATATTTATTTTTGAATTGGGGCAAAACTGTTAATGAATGGAAATCAGACAAGGGAGTTGGAAGCCTACAAAATAAATCTGTTAAACCTTTTCATTCAACTGGAATTTACAATACAAGCAACTGTTCAGAGTGATGTATTTCAGATTGGAGATCAAATTTGCATTCTATATCCATTTTGCACAGCAGAAAAAAAAACAGGAAATAGCAGAAAATAAATGAAAAGCCCCTTCAACGATGAAAATCAAATATGCAGATTTTAATCTTGAGAAGCTTGCACTGCAGGAGATTGAGAGAACAAGTGATCGCAAAACAAATGAGAGGAGATCGCAATGAACTCCATATTTTCATCGATTACCTCAAGAAAACAAGAGAAGGCGAGAAAAGATCGATTACTGTCGAAGGATCGATTACCTTGTCGAAGGCAAGATGCGAGAGGGCTGGTCGAAGGCGAGAGGAGAGGGCGCGGTCCTGGTCGAAAGCGAGAGGCGAGCGATTGAAGGCGAGAAGCGAGAGATCAAAGGCGAGAGGTGAGATGTCGAAGGCGAGAGACGAGACGGCGCGGGAAAAAGAACGCTAGGGCAGAGGCGGCAATCGCAAATATTTAGCGGGTGAAAGTTGGGGCCGCGAGGTCGATCCCGCGGCCCGCTTTCCGCCCGCTTTGACGTCCTTCTGCCGCGAAGCCGGGAGCCAAACAATAACTTTTCGCGATTTATTGCCACGCCGTGTGAGAAAAGCCGCCCCAAACAGAGCCTTATATTTGAAGTTATATAGCTTCTAGACTTATGCTTGTATGGGCAGTGAGGCTATTGGATTTATCTTTTTGGAGAATTATTTTTTGGGGTGGCTAAAACTTAGCTTGTTCCTGCATAGCCTATCAGTTTCTAGAAGGCTGGGTTTTTATTAGCAGCAAATTTGTGGAATTTTCCTAGCTCCGTGTGGTTGCACCAATTCCTTTAGTATCTATAGCAGGATTCTACGGTGAGCCTGTTGGCTGAAATTGTGTATATGGCTATCGAAAGTTAGACATTATGAAATTTATATTTTTTGCTGATAGAATAAAGCTTTCTCGGCTTAAGTGTATGAACAGCTATGGATAAAATTTTTTAAGATTTCAAACCGTGGATTCAATTTAAACTTAGATTAAGCTGATTTTAAGCCAACCATCCCTACCATTCTACTAGATAAGGAGCTATAAATAAATATCCAGGGGCATGTAAAAATTAAATTTGGCCAAATAAAATTTCTTTGTTTAGTTTTCAATTTTATGAGTAACAATATAAACAAGACAATCTAATCCATAATCATCTCCTAATATCGACTGGATGCCTGCTATGGCTTATTTGGCATATTTGTTTCTTAGTTCTATTTTCATATATAATTATATACATAATCTTATATCGCCTTGATTAGAATTCAAGATTTTTGTTCAATTTTGGTACATAAAAAATTCAATTTGAAAAAATTAAATTACAATTGCTTATTGATTTATGTGGTTTCAAATCCCTTCATTTCATTATCAGTTGTCAGTTGGGTTTTAATTATAATATTCATTGTTTATAATTAAAGCAAGTTGTTGAATTAATTATTGTCAGTAGTTTGCCTCAAACTCCTTTTCATTAGTTCTTACTATAAAAAAATTAATTGCATTAGGAACCCTAAACCCGTTTACTCTCCATCAACAGTGAAGAAGCCAAACAGAAATCAAAAAGAAAAATTGAAAAGTATAGCTTCCAGAAGAGGATAATATTTATGTAGTGATAGAAACAATGGTCCTTAAAACACAAGTTCTTCTAGTCGGAGAAATTTACCTGAGTAGCATCACATATTGTGTTAAAGCTTTTGAAGTGTTCGTTAATGATTCTTACTCCATATTTACGCATCATAGTCTTCTCTACCAATTTACCTGAAATTAAATGAAAAAAGGTAGGCAAGCATTATGAATGCTAAAAACTGAGTTGCAAAAAAATAAATATATATCAAAGCTACCAATTTCTTCTGTCTCAGTCTTGAGCATTGTTGTTTGGTTTGCAATGCCAACTTTTACTAGATCTACATCGGGATCAAAGCCTAGAGAGACAGCATACTTGAATTTCTGCGAACAAAGATACCATATATTTATTCATATTAAACAGCTTGATAACATTAGTTTACAAGAATGCATATCAAACTAGAATTACCTCAAGAAAATCCTCTTTAGTTGAGCTAGATCCATCAAGCTGGCCTCCCAGAATGTAATCACATACGTACATTGCCTGGTTAAAAAGAAGAAAAGTTGAAAATACATTAGCTCCTTGAGATGAAGTCAACCTGTAGAATATAACCCAAAAGAAAGAAAATAATATACATCAAAAAAGGAAACAAAGAAAGACACACCTCTTTGATGTTTTTCACAACTATGTACTTTGCTGCAAAAGACGAGGTGGCCACAGTCTCTTCATGAGAGTACTTGCCATGAATTATCGAAGTATAATCTCCCTGCTTGTGCTTCTCAACCGTGTTCCAGACCTTCAAAAGTTCAAAATTGTGGAGTTATATTTAAGGATGTCAAATCATGAGATAACCCAGGTTTGCAGGCAAGGAAAGCAAAATCTGTAATGTTCATCACACACATGGGCCTTTAGCCTGCAGAAACTTGCACAGAAATGGTGTTCTACGTCGGTCAACAACTGTGTTCAGGAATCTCATGGGATCAAAGGGATTTTGGGGCCAAAAATTTGAAGATCAATCAAGGAAAAAACAAGGCAGCATCTTGGTAAACCAAGACAATAGCACCTAAACCGACCAAGGTAATCCCTTCAATTATTTCTGATCGACCTAGACACTTATTGGTCAAAAAAGTCCACCCACGACAACAGTTTTGGGTTGCCGTGGGAAAGGCATAAAAGCAGAAATAGGATTATTCACTAAAAAATACCTTTGATACCCATGGGCAAGTCGTATCAACCATCTGTACATTCTTCTGGCTTAAGGCATACATCTCATCAACCGCCGCACCAAATGCAGGCAAAATCACAACATCATGTTTATCAATAACATCTAATTGTTTTTTCCCATTTTGAATGGGAATGTTCTTGACCTCCATCTCTTCTAATCTCTTGTTGACGGTAGGATTATGTATTATCTCGTTGGTGATCCAAATCCTTTCCTCCGGAAACTGCTTCCTGGCCTCGTACGCAATCTGAACAGCCCGTTCCACTCCCCAGCAAAATCCAAAGGCTTCCGCCAGCTTCACTGTCACGTTGCCCCAAGTATACTCGTAGTTATTCTCTTTAAGCTTCTTTATCACATCACCTGCTCGAATCCCCCAAAAACCCAACTCCAATTAGAAAGTAAGAAGACCAACAAATTCCTTCCAATCAAATAAACATTTGTTTTTTTTAAAAAAAAAGTAACAAAATCCCTAAAATAAAACTGGGCAAAGAAGGGCGCGTACTTGTGTATTCGCGACCAATGAGCTCCAGAGTTTCCTTCTTGCGTCCGAACCCCTGGCGATTATAACGATCACTCCTGGTGAGGTTGTGACGGAAAGCCTTCTTGTCGAAGTGGGGATCCAGTGAGGTGGTCGCTTTCTCCCATCCATCATCAACGCCGCCGTCAGCACAGCGAAAGGTCGGCACGCTGCCGGGTCGCCGGCTACGGATCCCTCTGGCGGTGCTGACGCCGAACAAAATGCTCGACAAACCTGCTACTGAAAGCGCCATGACGACTGAGAACAGAAACGGGCTTTCTTGCAAAAAGCGGGCGTCCGTAGTCTGGCAGAATTATGCATTTTTATCATAGCCAAGAACAAAGAAACGTAAGCTGATAAATTATTCCGGCAATATTCACGTTGCGAAAAAAACAAAAAAAAAAAAAAAAACTCGCACGCTTATTTAAAGGACAATTTTTTTAAATATACGGTATTATATTAAATTAAATTAATTTTTTCGGTATCTAGGGTAGCATATTTAATAGTATTTAGAAATGAATTTAAGGTAAACCAGCCAAACACTAAAAATAAAAAAAATAAATCCAAAGCCCGGTTAAATCAAAATTTCTTTCACTCCGTCTCTCTTACGATATAAATACACTTTTAGATGTATTTAAGGGATTTAATCTTTGCTTGTGAGCACAGACTCCGTCCAACATGATTTCATAAATTCGGATTTTTTTTAATTTAAGAAATCTTATTTAACGTAATTCCTATTTAGATGAATTTATTGGATTTGATAAATCTTATTTGCATTTAGAAGTAAGGGCGTAGCCTATGAGCTGAAACAATCAAAACAAATGTTAGGTTTTATATAATCGAGTATCTGAGTTTGGTGTCTCTAAGAACTCGACGAGTGTAATACACCAGATATTGCTTTCCCAACTCTTCCCGGACTAGGATTGAACTGATCGCCTCTGATTTGACTCCCAAGTACAAGAAACTTCCTCATTCGACTTTAGACTTTAGAGCAAAGGTGGTGATGTGAGAGAATCCTTCAGAGTTTTGAATGTTCCCTCATATTCGGTTCTCCAATAAAAAATTTTTAGCCTTTATAAGTATTTTGAAGAAAATTGCACATTTATCGCCAGATAAGGATAAATCGGATAAGTCCCACTATTCGACCATAAGTCTTGCACATCTTTCATGTTTCGAAGAGATGACATGTTAAGTAATGCTTGGACCTTTTCAGGATTGGCTTTTAATGCTTTCAGGGGTTCAAAGATATCCAAGGAATTCGTCAATTGAGACTTCAAATATATATTTTGGTGAGTTTAATCTCATATTAAATTTTCGAAGCATTTGGAATGTCTCTTTTAGATCATTAATGTGTTTTTAAGCTGACCGACTTTTAACTAGCACATCATCCACATAAACTTCAATATTTTTTTTTTCTTTTGATTAGCGAAAATTGCATCCACTAGGTGTTGATACGTAGTCCTAGCACTTCTGAACCTAAACGACACTATAATATAACAAAAAAGACATTGACTAATAATAAAAGATGTTTTCTCTGAATCAGTTGTGTGCATTTTTATTTGATGGAACTAGAGAAGGCATCCAAAAATCTTGTAATTGAGTGGCCGACCGCGGTTCACCAGAGCATCGATCCTCGATAGCAAATAGAAGTCCTTGAAGAGGTGAAAATTAAGTTTGTTAAGTCCACACACATCCTCCACTTGTCATTTTCCTTCTGCATCATCACCATATTTAAGAACCATATCGGATATTGTACCTCCCGGAAGTAGTCAGCCTTCATCAACTTCTACACCTCTTCACTAATCAGTCCCGCTAGCATCATTGATGAAGTCCTTATCTTTTGTTTCGTTGACTGAATGGATGGGTTGATGTTTAATCAATGACATGCCCCATAAATAAGAATCCATGACATTTTCGTTGTTGACCAAGCAAAAACATCTCGGTGCTCTCTCAGCTGGATCAACAAATATTTATGGCATGCATCAAAAGCTTAGCTGATTATAAAAGATTTACCGGGTTCCCCATTGACCGTGGGGATCTCCAGTGTGGTCTCACTGGTTTTGAGAACCTCCTCGCTCTGGTTCTGGATGTGAAGAGGATCGCGCTCCACATTGTTGATCGCCTGAAGGTAGTAGACTCATGATTACTCCATATCTCCTTGGACAGTAATGATCTCCCCATCTCTTGAAAACTTTATTGCAATATGGTAGGTAGAAACCACATATCTAAAGCATTCAACAGAGCGTGATAAAAAAATGACGTTGTTGGTCAGTGATGAATCTAACACTAAGAAGACTTCTACAAGAGTAAACTGCTTATCATCTTTGCCCCAAGTGACCGTCAGGCTTATTATCCTGAGAGCTTCCTTCCACTCACCCGAGAATTCATACAACAAACTAACCAATGCCACTAGTCAATCATTTGACAAACTCAGCTTGTCAAATACCGACTCGAACAACGCGTTTACGGAACTGCCAATGCCAATCATGATACTTCCCACCTGATAATTGTTGATCATTTTCGTAATAACCATAGCCTCTTGTAAGGGTTCCTCTTTGGGGTTAGGTCTGCATCAGTGAAGCAGATAAGTGAATGGGCGCTCTGTTTGTGAGTGAAAATGACTGAACAAAGCTCCCCTGTCTGGTGCCTCTTATGACCGACTCGCAGAAATGAATTTGCTCCTCCAAAAAGAGGGGGCACCACCACAGCTATATTACGACATTTGCTCGAACGTGCTCATTTGGAACTTTCATCACTGAGGCATTTCCATTCCTTTAAGTCATTGACCCTGGAGCCACAAACTCGAAATAGCTTCTCGACCAGACACCAAATGTGTCTACATTCTTCCTTGTCGTGATCGTGGTCCTTATGGCATCTGCAATACTTTTTGATATCGTAAAGGAAAGCTCCAACCTTATTGTTGGTGCTTTCTTGAAATATTCCTTATCTTGGATGACCTCTAATAACTTAGTCATTAACACTCTCAATGCAGTGGCCCTCAAATTCTTATAATTGTTGGAAAGTCGCTCATAATGATAAGTCGGACACTGGTCATGGCTCATTACCTGACCTCCTTGATAGCAGATCTATTATATTCCTTTGATGTCACAAGTTGGTTGATCATCTTCATGTCGAGGACGGATTAAAGTACTTGTGCTCCTCTGAGGCCTCCACTAGTTGTTCTGCTTGTCATGATCAAATTATTCAAGTTTATGGTAGAGGTTGATGACATTCTCTTCAGCAATAACGTGTTTATTGGCCATCTTCAGCATTTCAGGCAAACTCTTGAATTCAATCAAGCCAATGCCATATCAGAATCCATCTCCCCTCTTGTCTTATGTTAAGGCAGCATGTGTCACTCCGATCTCCAAATCCCTTACCTCCAACTCTTTCTAGAATCACGTGATGTAAGAGCATAAACTCTCATTCTGCATTACTTAACTTGTCATTGGGCTTGCGAGCTCTGCTTAGGTCTCTAGGTGCTGGCAAATTGTGCTAAAAACATTCTTTTGAAATAAGAAAAACAGGTGATCACCTCTACTAGCAATCTATTTATCCATCTGAGGGTCAATCTCTTAAAGTGGTAAAAAACAAAAAAACACTTCAACGCGTTGGAGACTCTCCGAAGACAAACCAATAATTTAAATGATGCAAGGTGGTCAGTCGGATCACTCCGACCCTCAGAAAAATTTAGTGTTGGCACTTTAAATTTCTTAGGATGTTCAACTCTGGAGGTCTCAAGAGAGAAAAAATTAGTGTGGGACCGCAATGTGCTCAAATTGTTGCCTATCCACCAGTGAAAACCTAACACTGTCCCGGTACTGTGAATCTCTGGCCCTCTCCGGGCAATAGTTCAACCTACTATAGTTACACATAGGCTCTTCTTTCTGAGGAGGCTCTACTCTTGTTGGACATGCTCTCCTCCTTGAGTTGTCACGACTCTGAGAACCTCTGCAGTCTACCCCGCTATTTGATCCATCAACTCCTGAATCTCTCACTATACAAACCCCTCTACGAATTCTCTAGTGTAATTCATGTCTACTACATCTCTCAAGTGGATTTTTTCTCTTTGTCGTGCTCCTCTTTTGTTGTTTGCATGGATCCATACCCATCGCACATTTCAAGTTATTAAATCTAAAATTGTACAGAAAACACACTTAAGGAATAAAGTATTTAACAGGAAAGAGAAATAGTAAGAATACAAGAATGAACAATAAGACAGTGTCACTTTTATTTGATAATGATCCTCTATTCACAGGTATAGGGGGCACAATTGTGATATTACATTTATTCTCTTAGTTAATTAGAATAATGAGAACTATTTTAGTATTTTAAATCTATGGGACCAGTGCTTTTGGGGTTCTTTTTGATGGGTCCTTCCAATTTGGAGGATTCTAAAAGTCAGTTAGAACATTAGGTCAAACTGACCGGTCAGGTCGAAGAAATCCTGGGTTTTGAGGTAAAGTGAGCAGAGATTAATGGTTGTCAATCAGTTTGGGATCCATCGTGTTGAATTCCCTATCTTGATTTGAGCGGATCAATATCGATTGACTATTCTATTGACCATTTCTTCTATCTGCGAGGCTTGTTCATCTGACCATTTGATTTTCTCAAGATTCATGCCAACACATTTTTGGTATATTGTATGATTTTAATTATGTTAATTTTGGTAAGAGATTTTGTTCTAAAATTGATTTATTGAAAGTTTTTGATAAAGTTCATATAGATTCTCCTTCTAATGGAACGATTAGATTGTGTTTTCTTGTTGGTTTAATTTGTTGGATTAAGGCCTGCACGACTTATGTTTATTTCTTTATTATTATAAATGGTGAAATGAATGATTGCTTTACTTCTAGTTTGAGATAAAATTTCCCTCTTTTATCTGATTTATTTGTTATTATTATGGATGTTATCTCATCCACGTTGGATATTCAAGATAATTATATTATGCAACAATGTTTTAATAAAGTCAATCTTCTTATATATACATATGATTTTTATTTTTTGGTGTTGTTCCTCCCAATGTGCATCATCTAGCTAATATCCTGAATATATTTAGTCATTCTTCGAATTTGATTGTTAACTTTTCTAAATCAGATATTTGTTATTCTAAGGCTAATGAATCTTCTTTACAACAAACTATGTAAAATTAGTGGTATGAATATCCAACCACCACTTTGGAAACACCTTAGTATTGCTATTAATTGCTCTAAGCTTAATGTGATGGATTTGCATATTATTATTGATATACTTCATACATGGTTGGTTGGTTGGAACTAAAAAGTTATATATATGGCTTGTTATTTTCACTTAATCAATTATACCATTAGAAGTCATCTTTGATGCATGTTGGAAGGTCCATAATAGAGAGTGATAAATTAACATCTTAGCATTGTATCAAAATCCAACACATACATAAATAGTAAATAAAGGTTAGCAGGAGGAGACACCTCAATTTTTACGTGAAAACCCCAGGAAGGGGAAAAAACAACGGGGTCTATCCCTGTTGAAATAATCCACTATGTAATTTTGAGTATATGGATCAACTCTTTTCTAGATTTAGAAAATATGTAATTACAAAGTTGATGAATAATAACAATTCAACATTAATTGTTACAATGACCACAAAAGTTGTGGTTAATTGTTGCAAAGATAGTAGCCCACCATGAATGTTGTAGATGGTGGTTAGAACCAGCTTATTATAAAGGTCAAAGTTGCAAGTCATGGTAATAGCTGTTCATGTGAGTCTTAGATAATTGTTTTAATAATGTCGGTTGACCACATAGGTTATAGTAGAGAGCCATTGAAACTGTAAGAATGTTTGTATGCCGTAGAGGTTGAAGTTGGGAGATGCACAAGTCGTGAGCCAAAAGGGCCAGAGTTAGAAGTTCTATGAGTTGTGATATTATCATTTGACCATAGAGGTCTGAGTTGGGAGCTGCATGAGTTTTGAAATGCATATGTTGTAGTTAGTTATACAGGTCTTAGCTGGAAGCTACAATAACATTCGTAAATCATAGAGGTTAGAGTTGGGATCTATGTGAGCTGAGATAACATTTGTAGGTCGCAACGACCAAAATTTGGAGCTGCAATAACTGTGATAACATTTGTGGACCCCACATGTCAGAGTTGGGAGTTGCTTAAGCTGTGATAACATCCGTAAGCCATAGAGATCGAAGTTGGAGGTTGCGTGAGCTGTGAGCCACACAGACTGTGTTGATCACATAGGTTGTAGTGATGAACTTCAATGACATTCGTATGTCGCAAATGTCGGGGTTGAGAGTTGAGTGAGTTGTGGACCATATAGGTCGTAGTTAATCACTTATGTCATAATGGAAAGCCACAATAACATTTATAGGTTGTGAAGATAAGAGTTGGGGGTTGCAATAACATTCGTAGGATATAAAGGCCAAAAATGGGAGTTGTGTGACCTTTGAGTCATGTAGGTCGTTGTGGATCACATATGTCGTAGTGATGAGCTACAATGATGTTCGTAGGATGTAGAGGCAGAAGTTGGGAATTGTGTCAGCAATGAGCCACATATACCGTAGTTGATCACTTATGTTGTAGTGGTGAGCTACAATAATTTATGTAGGCTACAAAAGTTGGAGTTGGGAGCTACATGAGCTGTGATAACTTCTGTAGACTATAAAGGCCAGAATTAGGCTATTCTAGTAACTTGACTTTGCTTTCTTGGAGAACTTTTAATGCTAGTTTTAAAATTTGTGACATTCTCAACTCAAGGAATATTAATATTAGTGTTAATTGCTCTCTATATCTTAATAGTTTAGAGACTCATAATCATTTATTATTTGTATGTAACTTTCCTCATAATCTATTAAAAATTATATTCATTTTGGGGGATTTTTCTTTAATGGTAGTAACTTTTCAAATTTTTTTAATATGTTGAGTATAATTTGTAAAATTTTAAAAAGTTTCTACATTTTCACTATTCAAACTATTCCTTATGAGATTTGGTTTGAAAGGAATAATAGAATTTTTAACAATTATAATATTTATCTTGAGGTAATTTTTTTTTTTTTGAAGATTAAAGAGCAATAAATGGAGATTTAAGGATGATCTTCCCAACATTATTAAGATTTTCTATAATTTGTTGTTCTTTCTTTTGTTTTTATTGATATTTCTGATACAAAATTTGGTTGCCGGTTAAGTGTTTAGTGGTGTTAGGTTATTATTTACCATCTCTTTGTTTTGGATCTCAATTGATTCTTGAATTTTCTCAGCATCCCTTTGTCGTTGGTTCTTTGATGTGCTTCTATTTAGTGGATGGAAACTTCATCTTTCTGACACTATGTTTCAACTATATATAAAAGTATACCTTGAATTACTCGTCTCCATTGCTTAAGCAGACTTTCATTAGATATTGATTTAGGCTATGTTTGGGGCATCTTATTTGGTGCGGTGGTGTTTTGAAAATGCACCTGACCTGTTTGGGTAAACTGTGTTTTGACAGCTTATTCGTTTTCAAAATGTTGAAAACAACATTTTCACACCTCACATGTCTAAGTGCGGTGGCAGCTTTCTGGCCGCGGTCTAACTTTTCCAAAAAAATAAAAATTTGTAATAACTGCTGCATCTAGCTTATCAGCAGATTATTTTTAATCAACTTATCTTTTTAATCTTAATCAACTTATCAGCAGATTATTAAATAAGCTGCAGCTGCCCCAAACAGACCCTTAATGATGTGTGCTATCCTTATCCATTGGCAATGGAGTAGCTTGGATGGCTTGTGTCGTGTTTCTTTGTGGTTTTATTTGTTTGTTGGTTAAGAACTCTGATGAACTTTTAGATTATTAATTGTTCGTTTTCATCTTGTTAAATTCTAGTTATATTTTTGTTTGTACGATGATAAATTTGCCTTGATCTATTTGTTTAACAGTTCTATTTTTTGTTATCTTGAAGTTTTGTTTTTATTATTTTGAGTTGTAATTTTATTTTGGGCCTCTACATTGTATTTTGTTTCTTCTTCTTGTAATAAAACTGGGCGTGAGCTGTACCTTTTCAAAAAAATAAATTGGCTACTAACACTTACATGCTGTATAATGATTCAAAAGTTCTTTTTTTTTTCCTTTGAAAGGTTGATGGCCATTCCAGCACATGATACTTCGGGGCAAGAAGAAATGTCTTAACCATTGGATCATCATCCTGTCCGCAACTTAACCCTTTTCATACAGTCAATTCAGTCATGTTAAATCCTTTCATTTGAAAATCTAGATTGTGTTGACTTCTAGCATAAAGCCCACCATAATAAATCCAGCAATTTTTGCATAAGTTTAAAACGCACGAAAGAAAAGGGAAAGAAATATCCAGATGCCCCTCTAGCAATTCGCTTGCAAGGTGAACAATCATGACTTCCCAGTCCGCCAACAAGCCCAATCAAGGGCTCCGCGATGTAGGCTTCCAATGGGAAGTTCAGGGAGAAAAGAAGTTTCTGGTTTGAAATGGGTCGAGGAAAGCTTTTGACAAAGACTACATCTGATCAAGAAAGAGCATTTTCATAAGCATCCAAATGCTTGCTGGCATTATGATGCCCTTATACTTGAACAGTTGAGGACCTTTGAACTTTAAAAAAAAAAATACACCTCCAGAGTAGAGAAAATTATGTAATAATCTCCTGGCATATGTTCAATATTCTACTAGAAAGACTAGTCCCTTTCAGCCTTCTAGTGGTCAGGCAAGGTATCCGGCTGAGCGATAGGAGGTTGAAATACATGTGTTTGACTTAGGAAGCGGCAGTAGATGCTGGTCCTGACACACTGGTTATTATTAATGTGCGCCTGTTAGGCGAAGGAAAGCCCAGTCAGAGCCGCAGAATCAGCATCGGATATGTTCTCACTGCTGATGGAAACAATGTAGTTATTAACATCATTATTAAAATCAGCCGTGCACAATTTCCTTCAAACTAGAGAATAGCTTCACATAGATTATGCTAAAAACGTTACCACAAAAAATATTCACAACTTAGGGCTACAGCAGTTCGGTACTTCAAGATAAAAGTAGAAAATGGGAAACACTCTAGTTTGAGATACTTGAGGAGCGAAGATAAGAGAAGCAAGCACACAATTAAAAATGGTTCAACCCCAAAAACTACACCCATGGTGGAAGCTCAAATCTAAGATGAGTGTGTATATATGTGACAAAGGGAAAAAAAAGGAAATATAACACTTATATAGGAAAACTCCCAGTAAATTTGACATGTTCAAGAGTACATATCAAGCCATACTGAAGAACGGCCCGATTGCCAGCCCTAAAACCATCTCCATATGCCACTGAGGTATCTGATTCTATCTGGTGTTTGAAGAAATCGCCCAGCTTCCTCTCCGACTGTGATCTCCGACCCTTCTTTGTTGCTGCTGAAGAAGAAGAAGAGGCTGATGAGCTGGACGTGAAAGAACTTCCAGTGCCTGACATGATCTCTGAATCTAGCCACATATGAGCGAGTACCTGGCAGATTCCTTCTTCTACTTCTGGACTCAGTCCACGGTACCCTGCATCATTAGGGTGAAACCAATCAACTAATATCTATTCCAAAAAATTATGAGAAATAGATGCAATCATTTTATACATTTTAGCACATGGTGCTGCTACAATTACGTAAGGTCAAACGGATGACATATTCTGAAAAAACTAATAATGCTAAGTCCCCCCAAAAACTATGGGTTGAGCAATTTCAGTAATTACAGTAGTACCCATCACAATATCTAAGAAAAACTGCCAAGATTAACTTTAAGTGCCTGTTCCATATCATAAAATGAATCACAAACATCAATTGCATCCACAAATCACAGAGAATATACCAAATGACAGAATAGGAAGCGGTATATCATTGACATGAATTTGCCTGTATTGGTAGGAAATATCCAAGAATTTGTTATAGAGAAAGTTGTCCTCCCTAGTAAATATTTACTGAAACTCAAAGCTCTGTTCAAATGGAAGGAAATTGAAGAAATGAAATGAGATCCTAGTTAATTATGAGTTGATTTTGCAATTGAAGGCACTGATTTTAGCTGCTCACTGTTCAACATTTTCTGAATGCCGACATAGACTAGGAGTAGAAAAGAAATGATCAACATTATGGCTTCAACAATTGAAGTGGGCGAGAGCAGCAGAAGCAGGGAGGTGCAGCGACAGGAAACGGGCAAACATGCAAGAAAAAAAACCTCATTGGCTGCAGCAGTACAGGTGGGGTGAAATCAGATCAAGTGAAGTACGACGGGTAGGTGTTATATGCCAGGATGGTTGTCATATTTTCATTAAAGGAATAGTAGCGTAAAGATTATACTTTATGCAATACTGTAGTAAAAAGGCATGCCGAAAAACACTATCAAAATTATCTCCTGTTCATCTTCTTCCTCCAAACTTTTCTTGCAAACAAACTAGAGTTGCTTGAATAGTGTATCTTCTTCCTTATTTTCCTCGGTCTTTTCTCGATTGAGCTCCATCAATCAATTTTATCATTATTCAAAAAGAAAAACGTGAGGCTAAAGTTTATCCAACTTAGCATCTCATGACTCAGTGTGTTTCATATATATATTAGGTCCTAATAAAAAAGGAATTCATCCACAAGTTTGAGTAAAAAAGTTCATCCTCTTTCATGTGCATTAATTGGGCATAAAATTGATATTTCATGTGTTATTTTTTATGACAGTTCTGACAAATAATATTGTTTTTATCTTTATTGCTATTTCCCCAGGTGGTCTTGGTGGATCGACTAATATGCGGGTCATGAGCAAGTCTAGAAATAAAAGAAAGGCAAATGTAGCCTTGAAGTGGTCGGGTACCTCCTATATTTTTCCACCAAGATATCAATGTTAAAGGCATGTTCTAAGATCCAACAGTCATATCACTCAACCTTACTCCTTATATCAGACATAAATTCAATGAAAAACTTATGTCAGGCTACCAATCGTTATTCAGGAAGTGGTTCTAGCAACGAGGTCTTCAAAATTGTTCAGATAATCAGTCACTACATGCTGCAGTGCCTTAGACTGTGGAGGTAGGTATGGAATGAGAGCACTTCTTTTATTTCCTCCCACCTACGGGCACTTCTACTACTTATCCCTTCTTTGCTCAAAACATTATTGCAGGAGAATTTAACACGTTGATTTGATTTGAATTTAACAAAAGTCACCCTTTGGTAGTCATTCAGTTTATAGTAGTCAAAGAATTCATTCTTTATTTGGGTGATATGTCCTGCCAAATGTGGGTACTTCAATTTTGATTCTTCTAATCGGATCAGCAAATGGTTCTTCCCAATGGGAGTTAATGGTTGTGATGTCTTCGAATATTATAGTTAAATTTTGGACTAGGGACGAAGTCATCCTCAAAATAATATACAGGTATGTGATTTGATCATTGATTTACCAAAAATTCACATTAACAAATTTTTAGTTTATTCAATTTTTCAGCCATTGATTGAAACTAACATTGCTTTTTTATGTATATCATCCATGTGGAACTCTAATTCTCCCGACTCTTATTGAGGCCTTCGACATAATCTCTCGTGTAATAGACTTTGGTGGCATAATGATCACGTAGATGTAATTGAGCTTTGAAAATATAGTGTAAAAAAACAAAAATATGTTGAATTAATAAATAAACCTAGTTTAAAAGAAACTTCCAGATGAGGAGGAGCATATGTCAGAAGCTCACCATATGTGGTTGAACCTTTGTTGACAAAAAAATTTTAGGTTTGATTTCAAAGAAAACATGTTGTAGAATTTATGGTAGAAAATAATTGTGTACATGCGATAAAAGTGTGTACGAGGCTTAAAACCCCTTGCAGAGATAATCAAAATATTAAATTAAAGAAAACATAAAACGGCGTAACCACCAGTGTTTATAAAGACTATTCCGGTTCTTCAGGAAACCTATAGCACATCAAAAGTAAGAATTAAGGTTATTCAACAACTCCAATAGAAGTGTAATGGATTATTATTAAAAATTTGTAAAATAACAACAAAATAACGCAAAGAGTCTATCCCACCATGCTACAAAAGATGTTTATGGTTGATAATTTTCGGTCTCTACTCCACAAGTGAGCAAAATGTCAACCACATAAAACTTTGATTGACAAGTTCGAAGCAAAGACACCAAAATAAAACAACCGCCATTATTTCCTTTTCCTATTGATACATCATACAAGCCTCGTACTACATGACTAGTTGAATAAGGATTGTCAGCAAACTTATTGGCATCACAAAGAGTTAAAATCTGTCTCCGTATAGGGAACTAAATAGAAGGTTGATTAAAGAACTAAAATGAATTTAACCATTTGCATTCAAATTAAGGTCTCACAAATAATGTAACAAATCAATAGAAAAATTAATATGACATTTCATTGTTTTAAACAAAAACTTGGCATAAGTCAGTGCAAAATAATTTCCACAAAACCATCTTAACACCTTATATAACATTAGAAATGAATGGTGAATCAATATTCATAAAGTTGGCCTTAAATGATTGGGATAAGACTTTAGTTCTACTGTAAGATGCTCTGTTGTATAATAGTTCCTGTCTTTCAACAAAATAAGAATAAAAAAATAACTAAAAACCAGATTATAAAAGGAAAATGATCAGAAAACTCATAATGTACCTTTAAGACGTAGCCAAGCATGCATCATCTCATGAGCTAGAATTGACCCAGTAAGTAGCCTGGAAACCAAACATAAAAAAAACAAAATTCATTGTACTGATGATAAAGGAATTACTCTGAACAGCCTGGACCTACATTTTTCCTTCTTTTTTTTTTTTTGGAAAAATAAACACTTAAAATTGGCCTTTAGGTACATATGTTCTCACAGGCAAATGGATGCGCTTACATGAGGAAAGAGAGGTACATATTGGTCTATGGTAAATTGTAATGAAAGCATAGCCAACCAAATTTAAAAAAATCAATGAGGTAAACGTGCATTGGAGAGCGTACAAGAAAGAATATCAAAACCAAAGAAGATAAGGAAAAACAAAATTATCAAGACCTTGGAAGCCCATACAAGATTAGAATGGCTGTGACTTCACATCGCCGGGTGAGTCTATATGGCTCTGTCATCATATCCACTACCCTGTTACCAGTCCCAATCCGAGGTCTTCTACGTATCTGATCAATGTAAATACTGTCAATTGAAAGCAGGAAATTTAACAAAAAAGTTGAAAAATGATGTAGAATTAAACATCCTCATTTCAAGAAATATGTCAGCATTTCATTAGAAAACACCCAAGTAATCTTACACTGCTAACCGTCTGCTCTTCGGACAGACAGAGACCTCTAGTTTCAGAAAGATGATGATGTCCCTGTTATATGTTATCCAGTAAAAAGTATCAATAAATATTTTTAAAAATAGAGAAATAAAAAGGATATAACATAAGTTTAGCTGAGAACTTCATAAATTGAAAGTAATCGTACACCCTTTTCTCCCTCCATGGCCTCATTTAAAGCTTGCCTCTCCACCAAAAGCAATGGAACCTGCTGTTCTACTTTCATGTTTAAGCCTTCGTAAAATTCTTGTATATCTAGGTAAAGAGATTGGCATTCAGTAGTGTCCATTATCGCTGAGTCCAAACATTCAAGACACAACTTCCGCCCATCATCCAATGTCACAAAGTTTGCGTCTCTTGGCTGAATATCAAATAATAGAAAGATAAAAAGTCATCATAAATGACATCAAGTCCATATTTGAACCAAGATTTTCTTGAAAAACATGCTAACTAACATTTTCATGAAAGATAGAAGATAGAAAACATAAATAGCTGCATCTGCTTGAGAATCTAAAATTAAGTTTCCACAGTAAAGTAAATTCACTATTATGCCGTTTGTAGGTTACTTGACAGGCACTTTGTCTTCGACCACAAGGTCGTGTTAAAAAAACTAGCACATTCGGGTTTGTGTGACTTATAAAAAAACAAGTCAGTCGTATGTGCAATTTCAAATCCGCTTCAATAACTGTTCATATTGTAAGCATCAAATTGTGCGGCCTACATTTATTAAAAGGCAAGCATAAAGGCATCTCCTTATGATGTGTAATAAAACCAACCTCCACTAGTTCACAGCTGCAGCATCTTGGCGAACCATCAGTTTCATGTGAAGGACAATACTTCTGTAGCCAGAAAGGGTGCGCCCTGTATTCAATGAGACCATTTATGTTTGTTGGGATCTGCAGAAGGGACAATAAAAAAAAGAAGAATTAAAAGCAAATAAAAAAAAACATGAAACATCTAAAATTTTGTATTGCCCCCAACAATGTACACCATCAAGCAAGTTTATTTCTTTTAGTGGAATAGGTTTCAATAAATCCTCAAATGATGACTGACATGATGACTGATGACTAGTTTCCTTGCAGCTTTTGATACTTCAAAACTGCTCTAGCGTTTTTGTTGATTCAACTACAGATGACCGCATTTTATTTTAATGCATTGAATGAAGTGAAAATTAATTGAATTAGTCTAATGTAAATTATAAGTTGCCTGCTTGACATGGGAGTGGATCTCCGCCAAGGTGGTGGGATTTCCGCCACCAATTTTCCGTTAGGAAATCTTGTTACAACGACGCCTAGCGTAGGGGCAAATTTAACTTTTGTCTGGATAAGGGAAATTTAATATTTTATTGATATTATTGTTGGGTATAAATAGGTTGGTTATGTCTAGGGTTAGAAATATGCATGAGATTAAGTTGTGAGTCACAGGTCTAGGGTTTGTGAGAGATTTTCTACCTTTCAAATTGTAGTAATTGGGAGAGATCACCTACCACTCGAATTGTAAGTGTTTATTTTTGTAATCTTGTTGAGTTGTTTGGATTATTACAGAAAAATTGTGTTTGCCCTAATTTCTGCAAAAATCTGTGTCAATTTTTACGTCGAATGTTAACAGGTTTTCTTTTCCACCCACAAATATATTGTAAGTGTTCTATGTGTAGACATATAAAGATACCTTTTGCTTGATTTTGATCCTGAAGATTGTTTCTCAAGATAACTACTCTTAAGAGTGTTGTACCCTTCTTCTCTTTCAAGTGGTGAGTTTGTTGTATCTTGATCGAGAGTAGGTGGTGAAAACTCTTGATGTTTATTTATCGCCGACCAAACCGCCGACCCATTCCTATTTGTTGATTTTCCTCCAGTACAGCAGCCACTGCCGCTTCCCTCTTCCATATCCTAACCAATTCTCTTATTTTCTCCTCTTTTCTAAAAAAATCCCCAACGTATTGATCCTCATATGCCATCTAGAAACCCTAGATCTCTGTCATTTGATATCAGAGTCAATATCTAATTACAAAGTCAATATCTAATTACAAAGTCAATATCTAATTCCAATATGTAACCCTAACCCCAAATCTCTTCGAAGATCTAAATTTTTAATTCCAAAACCTAAATTTTCAAAACCAAATATTCGTACCTCCACCAAAATCAATCCTTACACCCTCCCTTTAAATCTGAAACTTTCAGCAAACCCCTAAAAAACTACACCTTTCACTTAACCAAAACCCTAAAGTGAGGATTACTCTTCACGCGCCAACGAGAAACACACAAAGAGGCATTTAAAATATCACAATAAAGGATATGAAAGTAGAAATCCTCCAACTGCAACAAAGATTTTGTTGAATTTTAAAGGAGACAACCCGAGAAAGTCACCCGTAGTAATAATAATGATTTGTCAAATCAAGAGAATAAAGTTAACCCCTTCCACTAAGATTTCTTCAACGATGAAGAACCAATGCCAAAGGGATTTTGCATTGAATATTTAGAGGACACAATGACTTTAGCTTGAAGATCAACTTGCAAGCTTTTCTGACGACTGTATGGGACCAAGATGAGTTCATTAAAATGGCACCATACCGTAGAACAAATCTTTGGGTACAAAAATATTTCACAAGACATAAGAGTCATGTTAGCAGCCTACAAACTCAAGAAGAGTTCTTTCTTATGGTGAGGGACTTCAGTAGAGAGAAGGTAAGAGTAATCACAATATGATTTACGATAATAATGAAGATACAACCTAAATATCTTCCCCTCACACTATCGATAAAATATGATCCTAAAACTCTACAATTTGTATATGAGAGATTTATCCATGGAAGAGTATACAATTAAAGTTAAATAACTCATGCTAATATATAATTTGGTAGAGCCAAAGCACACTATAATGTGTTACCTAAGAGGATTGAAGCCATTCATTGATAATGTAGTTCAGTAACAACCGTATTGATCTATGCTTATTTCCGTTTCTCTGGTTCCTGTTATTCTCCTATTTAAACTACATGTTGGACGACATTGACATGCTTCATTTTCTCTTATTAGAAGCTTTAAAAAAAGAGAGAGAGAAAAAGAGACATCTTTGAAAGGAGGGGCTCGGTTTGGCTCCTTGTGGTTGTCATTCTTGTTCGAATACATGTTGGAATTATTTCTTGCTTTGAGCAGTTGTTTTGGTGGCTCGGTTTAGCTCCCTGTGGTTGTCTTTCTTGTTCGAGTACATGTTTGAATTATTTCTTGCTTTGAGCAGCTGTTTGGGTGGCTCAGTTTTGCTCCCTTTACTACTCCTGTTCAAATACATGTTGGAATCTGTTTTGTGTTTTGAGCAGTTGGTTTTGGGGCTTGATTTTATTTCCTGTTATTCTCCCTATTCGAATATATATGTTGGAGTTTGTTTTAATGCTTTAAGAAGTTGGTTTTGTAATTCGGTTTTACTCCTCACGCCTGCTACCCATGTTCGAATATATGTTGGAATCTATTTGGTGTTTTGAGTAGCTAGTTTTGGGGCTTGGTTTTATTTCATGTTGGTGCCCCCCTATTCGAAATATATGTTGAATGAAAATTTGATTTTTTTTTAACTTTTGGAGCTTGTTTTGGGGGCCCTGTGTTGCTTCCTCTGTTGTGATCCTCCCTGTTGTGTTCTCTTGTTTAGTTTGGGTGTTAGCTGGTGGCTTTCCCCTTTGGCTGCTCCTACATGTGAGTTTGTGGCTGTTGGCTTGGGTCTGGTGGCTCCTCTTGCCGCCCCTACCCGAGAGCCCTTTGTTTGTCTCTGTTGGTTCCTTTGTGCACCTGTTTGGGGGTCCCTTTGCTGTTCCTGGTCGTGAGTCGTCGCCTGTAGTTCCCTTGTGTTGGGAGTTGGTGGCTTCCCTCTATTGTTCCTATCCGTGAGCTTCTGGTTGTAATTTTTTTTTTATGCTGGGCTCGGTTCACCCTCTTGGCTGCCCCTGGCAGTGGGCACTTGCTAGGTTCCTGGTTTAGTGTTGGGTTTGTATGAAATTGAAAGCTTTTGGCTCGAGGTGGAATTAAATGCTTTAATGTTGGTGAAATGGAATACCTCAACTCTTGTTATTTGGAAAAATTCAAATGCCCCTTTTTGAGGAATTATTTGTTAAATGTTTGGAGATGTTTCGGGATCCAATTCTGAGGGCTGAATTGATTGCAATAAAAGTAAAAAAAAAGGAGAAAAGAAAATCTTTGATTATTTGAGAAAGGTTTGGGAATAGCTTGGAAGTCTCTAAATCGTGCATTTCGGGGTTGTTCCTAGCTAGCATCGGGAAGTGTGCCCATCTCATTCCTCATTTGAGAGGTCTCATCGGGTGGATGTTTTAGGCTAACTCGCCTACCGCTTTGGTTTTTCTTTCCTAAATTGATTTTGGAGGTGGGTTAGCCTTCTTTCTTTTTCATTTCTTGTTTTTCGGTTCACTTTCTTTGCTTCTTGGATTGAGTTTTAAATGCTTATGTCCGATACATAAGTGCACGTATATAACCATGGCTATATATGAAACCATCAAGAAAGGTCGTAAGTTAGACGGTCGTTTTGGGGTATTAGGCCTTGATGATAAAGACATTTGGTGGTAAAGCAGAATAATATAATATTCTACAACATCGGGACCCAATCTAAGGACCAGGTGAAATGTATGATGACAATATTATTCACCGACACCAGACTAGCAGAGCACCCTTGCCTTCTTAGATTGTTGGTGGTCCCGGCCAGATGGTTTGATCGACTTGTGGATAATCATAATTTTATAAAAATAATAAGAACAGATACGATGCGAACATATACGCTATTTTCTAAAATATTTTGACTATAAAAAATTGACACTACTTTTCTTGTATACATGAAATCTATATGCATGCTAAAATATAAATTTTAAATAATATAATTTGATTGTCCACCTGTCAATCGCCGGTATTGGGCTAATGAGTACCCTCCTAAGTTGGTATAGTAGGACACATTTCTAGTTGAATGTCGGGCTCTATACATACGGGTGACCGATAGTTGTCTTCGGAGTCCCTCGAGAATACCTAATTCTGAGCCTAGCCCGACCCGAATGCTTACGGCTTTCTTTCGTTCTTTCGATTTTTTTTTATGTGATTTCCTGTGATTTTATCGAAATCAGATTTTTTATGTGTTTTCCTACGGCTTACTCAAAATCTTTGTAAAGCACATGTGATTTCTTTTATTCGGATTTTCTTCGTGTTTTCGACGGTTTTCTTTCTTGAATTACTGTGGATCTTCTGTAGTTTTTCTTGGCCCTTTTCAGGAGTCGTCGGCCCATCAGGTATACAAGTTTGTTTTATATTTACAACATTTATTCTTGCTGCTGCACACTTTACTACATATACACACAATTCATGACTGTAATACTACTGTTTACTGTTTAATGCGTTTCGTAGCATGTTCCTTTTATAATTATTGTTGTTTCTACAGACTTGCAGGGGACTTTTAGATTAGAGGCCAGTAGGACACCTGGTTTACGAGGTACCCCGTGGCGAGTTACTCACCCAACAACTGTACATTTATACACACCACTACCCTGAGCCTATAATCGATCTGTTAGGAGCTTAGAGTAGTCTTCCCAAGAAGCGGAGCGTGGAAGCAAGTGGACGGAGGGCGACGATCGAGACCACGATGAAGTGGCATAGGATGTCTCTTTAGAGTTAAGGTCCAATCGTAGGATAGTTGGGAAGTCACCGAGGTTCTCCCTGGATCTGTGACATCCCCTGCATTTACTTCATTGGCTCCTGAAAATAACTGTTCATATTTTAAGTCTTTCTACCTTGATTTCCTCATATTTATCCTATTTCCTCATATTTATACCTTGATTTCCTCATATTTATCCTTGGAAACCTAAACTTTGCAATCTTGAAGACAGAACCACTGATCTTAATCGAGAGTCTTCTTAAGA